AGGTGCTCATATATACGACCAAATCGTATGTATGCCCTGGGCCAGAGCGTCGCAAGCAAGGCACATGCCGTAACAGCCTGGACGGCCAACGCTCACCAATCCAGTGAACATCAGTCCCCTGACATCATTGAACGCCAATGGTGCTCCAAAATGTCTAAGGAACCACCCTGAGCCACCGCGCAAAAGTTTGTGCGCAACACAACCAACTTTGATCAAACAAGGGTTGCTGCTGTAATCAAGGTATTACGCTACTAACGATCGGATGTACAATCATGGTGGAACCAAGTGCCGCCATGACGCGCGAAACTTCCATCAACCACCTTACACATCATCGAAGGCCGTCGTGCCAAGCGGCCTCTGCAAGCAACTGGCGCCGTTGCGAAAACACCAGTGAGCGTTCGAAGTGCAACCGAACGTCGTTGCGCGAAGCTTGCCGCTGAAGCCGACAACACATCAGAAGATGCACCCCGCGCTGCGCGCGCCCGTTTGGTCGTTCTCGGCTTTGGCCTGGCGCCCACGCCTCTGCGTGGCAGCTCGGGCAGGCGTCTGCTCGGATGCTCCGCCGTAGCGTCAACAGCCTCGGTATCGCGCTGCGCTGCGCGGCCACGACCGTACACTCTGCGCTGATCTCGGCCACGAGCTGGCGCAGCTCCACCGACTCAAGACCTTCCCAGGTGTCGCAGCTCGGCGAAGCGCCATGCGCACCACGGGGCGAGCGGTGGGCCATTCGCACGTCCTGCTCAGGGCCCAGCGCTCGGCACCAGACTGGCGCTTGGCCTCCAACCTGTCGGCGGCCGCCTCCTGGGCGAATCGCTCAGCCTATGCCCCTGCCTCATTTGAGCCCCACTCCGGCTCGCTATTGGGCACCTCGCCGTCGTCCACCACGTGCACGACCCTGCCGTCCGCCTTCCCCGCTACGGCCTTACAGATCTCGACGCGCAGCCGCTACGTCCCTGTGCTCGGCGCTGGGCCGCACCTTGGCTGCTTGCTTGGGCGCAGTGCTTGGCCCTGGCGGCCCAAGCCCCTCAGCGGCGTCTCAGCCTGCGGGACTCCCTGGACGCCCACATCCGCAGAGGTCTCCTGCAAACCGTCGAGCGCTGCCGCCGGCCGAGCTCTCGCGGCGCGGCTGGGCACGTTGGCAAGTTGCGCTGGTGCGCCCCCCGCTGAAGCGCAGCCGCCACGGGCGCCTGCAGCATCTAAGCGTGCACCTGGCGGTGAAGTCGCCGCGCACAATGCCCACGACTTCCCGCGCCGTTGGCCGCAGGGAAACGCAGCCTCCACGGGCGCCTGCAGCATCCCAGGCGTGCGCCTGGCGGCAACCCCGCTGCGCACAGCGCCCACAAAATCACACGCCGCTGGCGGCAGGCCATCAATCTTTCGCAGACACTGCCAGATCCCTGGCGCGGTGGCCCACTGGCTTGGCCCGTATTGGCTTGAACCACCTCTCTTTGGCCATTTTTGGCTACCTTGGCTCGTCGACCAGTCTCAATGTCTGTATTGAATGTGCGGGTGCATTGAGCCGTACGCTCACTTCGGACATCATGCTCGGGAACAACAAAAGGAACTCCGATGGCCAGATGCTCCTATTCAGCACGACCACAACAATAACGCCATCGGGGTTGATAAACGCAGTCGCCTCCAAGGTGTCCCGGTTAGTGCCCACAGCAATGCGCTTCGCCCCAGGCCTGATGTACCGCGAGAAATGCGCCAAATAATAATAGGATGGCAAATGCAAAACCTGCCCGCGCGCTGTATCCAGAATGACCGGCGCAGACACCAAGTTGCCCACGTGGTTCGGCCCACCTGTCTCGTCCAACACCAAATTCCAATCGATCCACGCCTCCAGCCAATGGTTCATGTCGCGGATGAGCGCTTCCGCATACCGCTCGCCTGTCGCCCAATCGCCGATCCTGGGGCCGAACTCCTGCGAGGCTTCGGTCATTATGATGTGCTTGTCTGGCCTTAACTCGTGCACACGCTGCACGTTGTCCCAGCTCACCTGCCCCGACCGGTCGGGCCAGATCTCATGTCTGGGGTCGCCATACCAGTGGTAGCCAATGCCCCACACATATTCGGCTGCGCGTGGGTCCGCATAGATAGTCTGGGCGCGCAACAACATATTATCCCTGTTGTGGTCCCAGAACAGCAGCCGCAGGTCCAGCTTGCTCGCCTCCAGGGCTGGCCCCAGGAAGTCGCGGATGAACTCGAGCTCGTCTCTAGGCGAGAAGTAGCAGTTCTCCCAAGGCGTCACTGCGTCTGGCTCATTCTGGACAGTAAAACCCCAAAGGGGCACCCCGGCGAGCTTCATCTCCAATGCGAATCGGACAAAGAATCGTGCCCAAGTGCTGTGGTGCTTCCACAAGAGGCTGCCGCCGTGAACCATGCGGCCCGTGTCCTTCATCCATGCCGGAGGGCTCCATGGGCTGGCGATCAGCGTGAGGTTTCTGCCCGCGCATTCGGCCGCCCGGCGCACCATGGGCAGAATCGACCTATGGTAGCGCTGGATACTAAAATTGACCAGCTGGATGTCGTCTGGCGAATCATCGCAACTCCACGAACTGCCGGAGAAATCGCAAGAGTTCATGTGCAACCGGCCCAGAGTGTACCCCAGGCCAAGGTGCTCGTCGAAGTAGGCATCCATGATGAGCTTCTGGTTCTCGAGGCTAGCGCTGGCGAAAAGGTCAGCCGAGGACTCCGTGAAAGAGCCTCCGAAACCCATCCACGTCTGGTACGTCACCCTGGGCTGCACCACGACATGGGCGTACTCCCTCGTCGGGACCCCCCCGCCGAGGTTCACCGCTGGCAGGTCCCTCAGGCGCTCGCCCCCGTAGTAGCTTGTGCGCGTGATGAGGAGCTGGCGCCTCGCGGGGCGCCTCACCTCTGGCAGTGGCCATCTGGACCCGGCCGCGAAGTACACGTACAGCGACGACCCGCCCAAGAGCCTGTGCACCGCAGTGCCTAGAGGAGCGAACAACGGCATACGAGTGAACTCCGCTGATGTCCACGTGGACCTCTCGGGTTGGCGCTCCTCCCCCGCCAGGGGGGAGAGCCCAGCACCGACCCAGAAGTCTGCGCGGACCTCGGAAAGTCTGCGCTCACGTCGTTCTTTCGGGGAGGGGGCCAGAACAGTATCGACTACACGCGAGAGTGACCCTGGGTAAGAGTGACCTTTTCTTTTTTTTCTCTTTTGGTGCGCGGCTTTTGGGGGGCCGCGGGGGGGACCAACCACCAGCGCGCAAGACGCTCCTACCGCATCGCATTCAGCGATCGGGGGACCCCCGTCGGGCCCGCACCAAAGGTCACTCCGGCGAAAGGTCATTCTTACGTGTAGCCGACAGCATTCGTCAACGAAACGCCGACGTGGGGAGCCCAGCAACGCGCCACCGTTGAAGGCACACCCAGCCTCCAGACAAAAGCGAAGGAGCAGCACGCCGACGGGCTCCCACCGGCGGCGTGCCACTGGTTCGAGTAGGGGATCGACTACAGCACTAATCAACACCACAATCAGTGCTCCCGTCGAGCGTGAAATATGCGATCCTTCTACGTTTGAATTTGGTAGGTGCGAAGAGCAAATCAAATGCCAAACTTTTGGGCGAATCAATTCTGCAGTCGATCTTCTACTCGACTGGTACTCCTTCTCTCTCCCGAGCTCTTGCTCATCGAGGGCCTCCCCTGGACCAAGCGAGGTCCCTGACCACGTGCGCGCAATGCAGCACCAGCTTGCTGCGCTGGGCCACCGACAGCACGCCGACCACGACCGCCAGCCCAAAGCCGAAGCCAGCGCGCGGGCAACAGCAGCCGCAGCCGCACGCGTCCTGCCACCGCATCGGCCCGCCGCGCGCCAGTATCTCGAGCAAGAGCGCGGCGGGGCCCCTGTACCTCCCCAAGGCGAAGGCAGGATGAGAGCAACCTCGGATGAGGATCCGCTCGAGCAACGCCGAGCCGGCGGGTCCAGAGAGCGCACCGGGCAACGCGGCCGTTCCGGTGCGTCCCAGGACGCACTGAGCGCGTCTCGGGACGCCGTGGAGCGATCCATCCCCTCGTTTTCTCTCTCTCTCTCTCGTTTTTTTTTTTTTTTTTTTTTTTTTTTTTTTTTTTTTTTTTTTTTTTTTTTTTTTTTTTTTTTCTCTCTCTCTCTCTCTCTCTCTCTCTCTCTCTCTCCCTGAGCACTCGCTCTCTCTCTCTCTCTCCTCGGTTGCGCCAGAGAGGGGCGCCAGGAAGAGGTCGGGGTGCGCATCATGGCCCGAGGCATGTGCGCGGACGAATAGGGGCCAGGGGACGTGTTGGAACAGGACGGGGCCATGAGATCTGGGGGATATCGTGCCCCGGGCCAATGACGCCCACCCCGCCTACAGCGAACCCGTATAGGAAGGACGCACGATAAGGATGCAAGGGCCTTGGAAGGCCATGTCGACACTTTGCGAGCGGGGCGCGGACAGCGACAGCGGCCAAGGATGGGCCGACGGGGAAGGATGCAAGGGCAACCTTAGAAACATGCTCATCCTTACTGTGCGGGTTGACTGTACTTCCCGTCATGGCCCCTGAGGAACTCAGCAGGTCGCCCAACTTCGCGCTTCGCGCCCCGTGATGCGCTGTCACCCTTCTGGCCCAGGCCACGACGCGCAAAGCGTGCTCATCTTCGCGTCCCTGGGGGTGGCCGAAGCCCCTGTTTTCCTCGCTGCATCTGCCCTCGGCTTGGAGGCCTGGAAATGGGCACCAACACCAACACAGGGGGTTGCCTCCACAGGGGGAAGACGATCCTGGATTTCGGTGTTGGTGGTAATATTTCGGCCTCCTTGGAAGCTAGCATATTGCAACCATCACCGAGATCGGGATCTTCTTCCCTCGGTGGAAGCACACCGCCGAAATTGGTGTTGGTGTCAATCTCCAGGCCTGCGATCGGCTCCCCTCCTCTTCATTTTGGCTCCTCTTCGTTTTTGTGAACCTCTCTCTCTGCCCCTCTTGCTCTCTGTTGCCGCTCCTTGCCTACGGACGCCTCCCCCGTCCCCCCCCCCCTGGGCCAATCCCCCCTGTCGGCGCTCCCTAATTTTCGGGCCATAGCTCAACACTCCAGCAATCGTTCGGGACGATCCGGGTACCCCCAGAACGCTCGCGGCGAGGCGCAGCTTCTGGAAGCCGTCCCGAGGCCCGACGCCCGCCGAGAACCAGCGAACGCACCCGGAAACGCTGACCTCATCCGCCCTCCCCGCCCCGCTCTGAGCCTGCATGAACGGGGGCGGAAAGGAAGGTGCACTTTTCGGGCCCTCAAGGGCTCCTCTTCTGCAGCCCTCCCCCCCCCCCCCCCCCGCAAATTTGATCGCCCCTTCCCATTACGCGACGCCCAAGACTCCCCTGGCGCCGCGCTCTTCCGTGACGCCGGCCCTCGGGGCTCCCGGCCCCGTACCCCGGGGCCGGCTGCTCGTCCCAGGCTGCTCGTCTGGCGGCCCTCGGGGGCCAGGAGCGGCCTCCCACAGCCAGCGTTCGCGAAACAACACACCGCCTCGTCGTTCAGTTGTGTGTGTGTGTGTGTGTGTGTGTGTGTGTGTGTTTGCGTGTCTAGACATCTGCGCATACTGCGGCCCCATATGTATACATGCGCACACACACATGCATGCATGCATCCATACATCCACTCATTCATAGAGGTATACCTACCTGCATGCATACATGCAAACATTTGCACACCGACATCTATGCATACATACACAAACATACAAACAAACAAACAAACACACGTTACATACATACATATTTACATTCATAATTTCGTATATGTATATATATATATACACACGTGTACGTGTGTGTATAAAGTACATCGGTACACATACAGAGTCTTCAACTACTTGCTGATTCGTGTGCGATTCATGTCTGTAGAGATGCAGGCCAAGGTGTATTACATATACGTATGTATTCCCCCCTTACCGTGCCTGTACGGAGTGGGCGTGTTAGAATGCTCGTCTGTTGCCTGGGATGTAGTTTCGGAAGGCGCGCCGCTGGATGGCCCCAAGGGGGGGGGGGTAAAGGGGGGTGGGTGGGACCCCACCTCCTTTCCCCGATCCGTCGTCGGGGACCCCTCCCCCCCCCTCCCCCCCTTTCCCGAGCCGTCGTCAGGGGAACCCCCACCCCCCCCCTTCCCGGTCCGTCGTCGGGGAACCCCCCCTCTCTCCCCCCCTTTCAAAAGGGGGGCGGGGGGGTCCGGCCCCCCCCCCTCCCCTCCTTTGGCCGCCAAATTCGACCCCTCCCCCCCCTCCCCCCTTTCGCCACGGCGCCCCCGGTCTCCGGAACCCGACCCCTGCCACCCCTAACACAAATCCTCACCCTTACCCTAACCCCTAACCCTAACCCCAAACCCAAACCCAAGCCCCAAACAGTACTCACTACTCATTGCGCACTACTCACTACCCACAATTCACTACCCGCTACTCACTACTCACTTCTCACTAGTCACTACTCACGACTCAGTACTCACCACCCACGACTCACTACCCACGACGCACGACTCCCTACTCCCTACTCCCTACTCCCTACTCACTACAAACTACTCGATACTCACTACCCACTACCCAATACTCACTACTCGCCAAAAGCAACTCACTACCAACTACTCACTCAACACAAAGCACTATTCACTACCCACTAACCACTATCCACTACTCGCTACCCACACTTCATTACTCACTACTCACTGCCCACAACTCACTACTCACTACCCACTACTCGCTACTCCCTACACAATAGTCACTGCTCACTGCTCAGTACTCGCTACTCGCTACCAAATACGCACTATTCACTACCGACTACTCACTACTCCCTACGCTCCCACTACTCACTACTCACTACTTCCTACTCACTACTCACTACTCCAAACTCACTGCGAACTACTCACAACCCAATACTCAATACTCACGAGTCACTAAACACTACTCACTGCCCACTACTCACTACTCACTAAGCACTACTCACTACCCAGTAACCACGATCCACTACTTGCTACTGAGAAGTCAAAATTCACTACTCACTACGCACTGCCCACAACAACTCACTACTCACTATCCGCTACATGCTACCCAATACGACATGTTCACTACCCACTACGCACTACTCGCTACTCCTTACCCCCTACTCCCTACTCACTAGTCACTAGTCGCAAGTCGCTACCCACTACTCACGAATCACTACTGCCAAATTTCTACTCGCTACTCCCTACTCACTACCCACTACTCAATGCCCACTTCTCGCTTCTCACTACTCACTACTCCCTACTCACTACTCACAACTCACTTCTCACTGTTCAATACTCGCTACTCCCTACTCGCTACGCACTACTCCCTATTCGCTACTCACTACTGACTCCTGACTACTCGCTCCTCACTACTCACTACTCACAACGCCCTACTCGCTACTCACTACACACTACTCGCTACTCCCTATTCGCGACTCCCTACTCGCTACTAGCTGCTCGCTACTCACCACTCACTACTCTCTGCTCGCTGCGCACTACTCACTACTCACTACTCACTCCTCGCTATTCGCTACTGTATACTCCCCCATACTCCTTGCGTACTACTCACTATGAACGACTCAATGCACACTACTCACTCCTCACTACTCACTACTCACAATTCCTTACTCACTACTTCCTTCCCGCTACTCACTACCCACTACTCACGACTCACTGCTCACTAAATCCTACGCGCCACTCACTACTACCACTACCCATTACCCACTACCCACTACTCACCACTCACGACTCACTGCGCACTACTCACGATCAAATACCCACAACCCACCAATCCCTACTCACAACACTCTACTCTTTACTCACTACCCGAGAGGCCCCCTTCCCAGCCCCCTGTGCGTCGCAAAGGGGAAGAGGGGGGGGAGATCGATCCCCCCCCCCCCCCCCTCCGCCCTTCCAGCGCCAAGCGGGGGCGGGGGGCGGGCCTTCTCCTCCTTGACGGGGAAGGGGGGGGGGGGGGGAGAGGGGGGGGGCGAAAACCTCGCGCCCTCCTTTGACGGGGGGGGGGGGAGGGGGAGGGGGGGGGGGGGGGGGGGGGGGAGGGGTTCTGCGAGCACGCCCCTCCCCTTGTGTGTTCAGGGCCATCCACTGGCGCGCTTTCGTAGTTTAGAATGCTGTCTGTGACGTTTTTGTTTGATTTTTTTTTTTTTTGTGTGGTGATTTTGATTTTTCAGGGCCGCCCCCTCCCGCATCGCGTGCGCCCGCCGAACGCCGCCCCCCCTGAGCTTGCTCCCCGGCAATCTTATCGGCGTCCAATCGGGGCAAACATGGCATCCAAAACGGTTTCCAAGACAGCCGAGGTGACGCCGAGACTGCCCAAGGCCACTCAAGAGGCTCCCAAGGTCTCTACGACAGCCCAAGAGGCCTCCCAGACGGCCCGAAGAGGCCCCCCAGGAAAGCCCGAGGCGACAAGAAAACATTGACTTCCCAGGATTTTGGTAGACTTGGAGGTTCTCGCCTGTCTGCATTTGCGACCGCCTGGGGTGGCCCGCGATGCCTCCAAGATAACTCCAAGTCAGTTCAAAAGGCACTCAAGAGGGCCCCGAGTCGGCCTAGGAGATCTTAATATGCCTCCAGGCGGCCCCCAAGAGGCCCCAGGCGCCCCCCAAGAGGCGCCCGAGACGCCCCGAGAGGCTCTGAAACCCGCCACGGGCCCCCCAAAATGTTTCAGGCCAGATCCATGGGGCCTCGAATGCGCCCCGAGAGGTCCCCAAGAGCTGCCAATGGGCCCTCGAGAGCCGCCAAGAGGCCCGCGAGAGCCACCAGGGGGCCCCCGAGACGCTCCAAGATACCCCGAGAAACATCCCAAGAGACTCCGAGAGGCATGGGAGACAGATGGACAAATGCGGTAGGCGTCTCGTGGGCGCATGCCCCCCGGCCTCGGGCCGGGGCGCGCGTGGTCAGCCTGCTTGGAGGCCGCCGCGGCAATTCGATGCTGCCGCCCGGCGCCTTGCCAGAGCCTCAGCCCATGGCCCGCCTACCTCCCCTGGAGGAAGAAACGCCGTCGATTG